TTGCATGTTGCCCGCACCCACTAAAGTAGGCCATGTGGATGTGACTGAATGCAGCCCAGGTTGTAGACTGGATGGACAATCCGGAAGTCAGCGCACGATTGGATGCAGTCAAAGCGTTCCCAGATTGCATTTTATCATGTTGCTGTCAGCTACCATCAGTTAAATGCTATCAATTAAATTATGATGACTAAAAATTGTCTCTCCAAAATTGCTAAGTTTCTCATGATAGCATCACTTTGAATCAGCTTTGCCAATCGCTGACTATCAGAAATCATGTTCCTTAAAACCTCCAAGGCAATATGAGAAGGAAGTGAAAAAAAAGAAAGAGGAGGCCTGGATGCTTGGAATCAATCAACGAAGTGCAAGTGTCATTTTTTCTTTTACAGTGACATTAAAATCGTCCAAAAAAACAATTTTGAGCACTCAATCCCTGGGTGCCCTGGACCCCCTGGAACTACCCATCCTATGACTCCAGAAGGCTGGCGAAAAGGATGAGGACCCGGTTACTGTGGAGGAAGACCTGACCGGTGGCACGGTGGTGGATGATGAATCTGGCTTGGGCCACATGCAGGTGGAAACCCCCTGGTTTCAATAGTGTTCAATCAAACATTGACCGTTCACTATGAACTCAATGCTCTATGATAATGGATGCCAGGTACTACCCATCCAAGTTGAAAAGAAGACCAAGAAAGGTAGCGAGGTGGTAGCGAAAGCCCCTGATCTAGAAGAAGAAGCGCTAAAGAAGGTTGAAGCGTTTTATTCTTAGTTGTGCGTTTTCTCTCGTCACCCCTGGAACAAAATGAGTTTCAATTTTCATGTTACTGTTGCTGGTGCTAGCAGCTGCTCGTTAGGTTCAAGAGAAAAGCCTGCCAGACTGTAAGGACGCATGTGAAGCTGATTGTTGAAGAGGACCTCTGTTGGTGGAAGGGACCATTGAATGTAAAAATCAAAGTTCTACATGTAGTCAAAGGCAATGATAGCATATTGCTCTGTCGTCATCGTCATCTAAATTTTCAATGACCTACACAAGAATTGTGGTCCTAGCATTTGACATGCCCTCTCTAGAAAGGAGTCCTCATTCATTTGGGTTTGTATTTTCTTGGTGGAATGAACATAGATCATGGGGGCATGCATGAGCCCAAGATTAGATGGGGAACCATTCCATATAAGATTTGCTATCAAAAACACCTGCACCGCTGAATCCCAATCCCCCTAAAAACGCTGAGCCTGCCAGGACAACACGTCGAACATGACCAAGGCTTTGTCTGCCACTGCCTTCGGTGAATGGCGGGGCGAAGTTGATGCTGAATCGAATCTTGTCTTCCATATCTTAAGTTGAAGCATACGGGAACATGAATTCAGGTTAAACATAATAATGAATCACAAGTTTATGAGACATTTTACATTTCATTAGAGTCTCCCAACATGATTCAAACAATGGCAGCTGGCTCTTCCTTCTGAACCATCCAAACTTTGTCATTTGTCATCCCAATCTCCCCAGGAGGCAGGTGGCAAAGTCAGTTGTGATCTTCTTTGATGCCCGGCAGCATTTGGCGTCCATGACATGTTAACTCAAATGGATTGCCGTCATGGTGGCCCTAAGGATGCTTAATGCCAGGACAATTGAATTTTCTTTAGTATTTTCATGTCTGGGTGAATTGCATACCACCCCTTCACTTAACACCAAGGACACCAAGATCTGTGGAGAAGCTGAAACACAACCTACTCTGAGACTCCCGCCGCTGCGCGAAGGGCGCCACAACAAGCTCTTTGCAGCAGCGATTGCCCTGCGCTATGATGCAGAGCTGTCATCACTGCGAGCTGGTGATGCCATCGTTTTCATGGATGGGGGGAGAGATGGTGCCCTGAAGTGATTATGACATGGCATGATCTGATGTCTTGACATGAAATAATCAACATGATTTGACTTGAAATTGTTTCTACATATCATCATATGGCTAAGGCCTTCAGTCATCCCTCTTGGGTGCAGTGAAGCCACCCGCTGGTAAGATGACAAAGGAGAAGGTTACCAAATATGTGATGTGGTGTGAATCCAGCCTGCGCAAGCGGAAACATCGAGATCGAGGTGCCCAGGTCAACCAGGTGGAACGCCTAACTGTGGTGCTACCGGAGGAGCAGACATTTAGCTACCACCAAAGGCAACACTATGAAGGAACCAACAGAGGTGATGTGATTTATCCAGTGAAAGCCCCCAGCTGGGAGGAACCATGGCTTTATTGAAATCTCAACTTTGTTGAATTATGGTTATGCCGAACCACATGGTAATGTCCCTTTAACTACTACGTATATTTCTCATTATTATTATAATGATTATTTATATAATGCCACTGACTGGGAAATAATATTAGCTCAACATGGGGGTATTCCCTCAATCATCCATTGTAAAATGATTTTCACCATCCAGGTTTTTTTGTGGTAACCACCATGCCAAGAAACCTCCAAATGGCTTTAAACCGGATGACACTGATTCAGGGTCTTACTATGTTTATCTGCTATCACCGGATCCCTCATCCCTGGTGACCCAAGGACAGCAATGAGACATGGCGCCTCACACTGGGGCAGAAGAAACAGCTGTTTGGCGTGTCGAACAGGATAGCAGTTGGTGGCAAACCAGATGTGAAACCAGATGCGAGTGCAACAAACAAACAGGGCGCCATGGTTGAATCACTGGAATTCGGGGATCAACTCATCCGCTCAGTTTCTGCTTCAACAGCATCGAATGTAAGATTCGCCTTGTGTGCCACAGATGCTGGCGCTGTCACTTTCAACATTTGGATTTGTCCTTGGACAAGTATGCTATCTTCTTGTTGTTGTCGAAGCACTAGTCTCTGCAAGTATTTTCACTGGGAAGATCAGCCCAGAGTTGTCAGCAAGCCAGTGGTTGCCCACCATGCTCTGCTGTGCCACTGTTTTCTGTCCATCCAAGGTCGGCGAAGAGACTCTGATGAAGAGCCGGTTGCATACCACGCATTGCCGCTGAAAGCTGCATCTTAGCTCAAAATGTTTATGGGGCCCAAAATTTCAAAATGTGGGTTCGTTGTTGTTGCCTAACTATTATTAGCTTCAGTCATTATTGTCATTGGCTAACTCTGAGATGTTTAAATTCATTATTCAACATTATCATCATCAATCATTATCATCATCATTATCATTAACATATTACCAGTAGTACCGCACAAGGCGGTGGCGGAAGTTTCAAAAATAGGAAACCTATAGGAGAGGCTGGTTGTTGTGAATCAGGGATGGCAGAGCGAATCCACTGATGGACCGAAAGGTGCTTGAGGTCTCCTCGCTTTCGCTCTCTTTCTCTGACTATCTACCTACCTACCTATCTATATTCTATGTTTCTATCTATCTATCTATCTATCTATCGATCGATCTATCTATCTATCTATCTATCGATCTATATATATATATATCTATCTCTCTCTCTCTTTCATCTGTCTATCTGTCTAGCTGTCTACCTGTCTGTCTGTATTCAACATTATCATCATCAATCATTATCATCATCATTAAAATTGACATATTCATTAAATTATTAATCACTAAAAATAATTCACACTATTTTTTTCTCCCACCGATTCTACTTCTGACATGAGGTGGAGGAGATCTTCTGCGAACTCAATGTGGGCTACATGCTGGACCTTTCGTGCTGTGCCCTGGCAATTGACTTCGTCATATATTTTAAAAAAATGTCCTGCCGCTGTCACTGACTTTAATCTTTAGTTGCCGATAAGGTGATGGAAAAACAGCCCTGGTGGCCATCTTCAAGCGTGTGCCATACATTGGTGTGGTATTCACTGAGGAGCATGTGCCTTGACCAACATAACTGAAAGACTTCAAGACCAGCTCCATTCTATGCCAAATTGATGGAACAAATTTAGATTAAAGTATGTTCCATCATCAGTTTATCTAAGGCCAAACTCCTTTGGATGCGACTGGAGGCAGAAGTCTTTAGGGCTATGCAAACAGCCGACTCCCCGTTATATGAGCCTGCCTTGGAAGCTTTGCTTTCAAAGAAGGCGAAGCCTGCAGGGAAGGCAAGATTGTTTATCATCACTGTCATGATGCTGCCTGCCAATGTCTTCCAATTCCTATGTCTTAAATCTTGTTTGGCTATTATCAAATAATTCTATTTTCTTTCCCAGGCAAAGGCCAAAGCGAAAGGGAAAAGCAAGGCAGGGCAGGATGAAGAGGATGAGAAAGAAGATGGCAATGATGAAGATGATCAGGAGGAGCAGGAGGAGGAGGATGAGGAGCCGGAAGATGATCAGGAGGAGGAGGAGCAGGAGGAGGACGAGGATGATGAGGATGATGATGAGATGAATGAGGATAATGAGGAAGAGGATCAGGATGAAGATGAGGAGGAGGATAAGCCGACAACGAGCAGGAAACGCAAGGCAATGCCCAAGGCCAAAGGAAGTGCGAAGGCGAAAGCCAAGGGCTCAGCCAAGAAGGAGAAGAAACCGAAGGCGAAGGCGCAGAGCAAAGCAAAGAGCAAAGCAAAGGGAAGGGGAAGGGGCCGTCCTAAGGCCTGGGAATGTCTTTCATGCCAAAACTTCATATGGTTATCACTATCATGGTGTCCTGGTGTTTGCTGCCAGGGTGGATCGGAAGCTGCCGCTGACGTGCTCGGCAGACTGAAAGGTCTCATGTGATGACATGCCCACCATGCTGAGACTGGGAGCCACCAAAATGAAACAAAACACAATTTAATTTAAAATAACTATTATTATTATTGTTAAGGATACTTCAATCTATGACCACTGATTCACTGATGTATGGTGGGCTGTCTCATGTTGTGGCATTTGGCCACTGTGAACTTGGCTGGGATTTTGCTTGGCGGTACCCGAAAACGGATTTTGATTTGATCATTTAATGTAGCAGATTGCTGCTGTTGACATTGCCTGCACCGCTACTAAAATAAAACTGCTAAACATCATTGCCATTTTGGCTCTAGCCTTCATGCTAGCGAACGGATGCCTAAAAGGAAAAATACATGTATAGTTCTTGCTGAAGACTGTGCCGGGTTAGGGCCACTTCATGAGAGCTGCAAGCTACCTGCCTTTTTATTCAAAGCATATGTTTGGGATGATTGTATGGGTAGTTACTTCTGGAAACATTGAACCCATTTCAAGATTATTCAGGACATAGACTGGTGGCAACCCTCACAACCAAGGCTAGCAAATGTCAATGCCCGCTACCTCTATGTCTCTGAGAGTGACCCCAAACTTTTGCAACGATTGGTGAAGATCTGCAAGCCGAAGTTCGTTTCCAAAGATGCAACCAAATCCCAGAAAGTGAAGTTAAGGGGCAACTTGGTTTTGAGACACTGGCCCACCATGCTAGCCTGTAAAACTCCAGTTGTATCTTCCGGTCCTTTCTTCCTTCCTTTGACCTGACCCATTGAGGCAAAGGGCGAAAGCGCATACACTTGTTTGGTGCTGGATGCCCTTGTCAACCTTACAGCAGTATGGGCAAGAAACTGGGCCATAAGGATCCGCGTGCCAAGGTTTTTCAAAAAGATCCTTGGCAGGCAAAATAGTTTCCATTGACTTTGGGTACAAGCGAGACCAATGCTAGACAATGTGACTAACAAGTCAGTGGGGGGGAGCAAGTAAGGTTGTCAAAAGAATTACTTGTTGGAAGCCCGACTCCTTCATCCTGGAGAGTCTCAAAACGCTGAATAGCAAGCGAAACAGAAGGTTTTTTCGATCTTTACTTTCGAAGTTGCTTGGTGGTGAATGTTGGTGGGTTGTGGTTACCACACCATGTGCACCTGGAAAATTGAATGCCTAGGCTCAAGAGCAATGGGTACTACAATGTTTCTTGGAAGGTAGGGTCACCTCGTACTGTCTTTTTGTGGTTGCATCCCAATTCTATTTTTTTTAATTTAGTAACCACTGAATTACCCATCCTGCATTGCTTGGGCAGGTGCTTGACTCTCGTCAGATAGGAGGCCTCCCGCAACGTCGGCAGCGTCTTTGGATCATCGGCGTGAGGAAGGATGTTGGTACCTTGGGATCAAAAAAAATGCGTGGACTTTTAAAGGGAGACCTGTGTTTAATGAGGGGTGTGAGCTGTATTCTACCTGAGTAGTAAAGTATGTTATCAAAACAGACTAATATAATTTATACATTATTATATGGGTATGGGTCAAAATTGAGTACCCCAATAGTTGGATGGTGAATACTAAAAATAGACTTAAATCTGTGGTCCCCCAGGTCTTACATTTTGACTCATACCCATATATTGTATAAATATATATATTATATACAATAGAAATAGGGAAATGTGTCATACCGATGGCTGGCTTAGAAATTAGCATCCCAGTGTCAGGGGTAAACCATTTCATCACATTGGGCAATGATATTTATTTTTTGGTCTGGTTAGATTTTTTGATACCAAGGAATTCATAAGTCCATGGGTTCAACACTAGTGACCTCAAACATGTTCGCTGGAGGCAAGTTCAAATGGCCTAAGCCGCTTCGTGGATGGCGGGACATCAAGCTATCAAACTTTTTGGGAAGGCGAGCTTCCCAAAGCATTGAAATCAAGATACAATTTCTCATCAACTTAAATTAGGGTCCCAGCTGCCATTTGGACAGGAAAAACTTGGATTATGAGTTCCCGACATCAAGAAGCGGCAAGAAGCGTTTGGTGGCTGGTATTGAAACATTGGTTCAAGATGGTCATTCTTTGGATGACACGTGGCCCCCTGGCTTTTCAATGGATCTGGTTCCAGACCAATTACCTGCAGGGTTAAAATTTTGACATAGCTGTATAAGATCACCATACAAATTACTAGGTAACCTGTGGCATGGGGAATGTATGTAAATACATGGGCGGCAAATACCAATTTTTTTTTGGGGTGGTTTTTAATGATGTGAAATGACCCTGGGGTTGAAATGGTGGGTTAACATTGTCATCATAACAATAATGTAGTTTAAATGTACATCTTTTTTCAATTTTTATTCGGTGGGAATGAGTTTGCCACATTATTGTTATGACGGTAATCGTCCCCCTATGTCCCTTGGGCCAGCCCCAGGGTCATTGATACTGGTGCTAGTGAACAGTTTTCTGGCCATCCCGCTCATGAACTGTGACTTGCCAATACTTTGCAGATTTTATTTTAAGGGTGCTCAAACAAAGATCAGGGCACTTGCATACATAGTTTTATGATGTTTTAGTTTTTAATTTCATTTTAGGCCCTATTTGGCCCGACTCCTCTTATGAGGTGCCCATGCCTTACTCGAACGCGTGGTGGATGTCCATCATTTTGGATCACCAGTCACAAGCGATTCTTGAATCTACGGGACCGGGGTTCAAGAGTTTTGGTGGTTCAAGAGTTTTTGAAAACCATCAATTCCCTACTAATTTGTAACGCAGGGCCCCCTAGAAATTCCATTGACTCAATGGTTTGAACTTATTTGATAACTGTGTTTTTCCCCACCTGCCAGGTGAGGGTTGTTAGATTTTATCAGAGCTGTTCTCCTTGCGCAGTGGGCACTGCTGGACCTCAACTGCTGGCTTCGATCTGGGTGGGCACGGCTGGACCTCAACCGCAAGGTTCTGAGCGCAGTGGGCACCGCTGGACCTCAACCTGGGATCTTCCGAGCTCAGTGGGCACCGCTGGACCTTAACGGCCAGATAGAATGCCAGGAGATATGCCAGATAGAATGCCAGAAGATATGCCAGATAGAATGCCAGAAGGTATGCCAGATAGAATGTCAGATAGAATGCCAGAAGGTATGCCAGATAAAGTGCCAGAATGTTTGCCAGATAGAACGCCAGAAGATTTGCCAGATAGGATGTCAGAAGATATGCCAGAAGATATGCCAGATAGAGTGCCAGAACATATGCCAGGTAGGATGCCAGAACATTGGCCAGACAGAATGCCAGAAGATATGTCTGCCAGAAGATATGCCAGAAGATATGCCAGATAGAATGCCAGAAGGTATGCCAGATAGAATGTCAGATAGAATGCCAGAAGATATGCCAGATAGAATGCCAGATCGAATGCCAGAAGATATGTCAGATAGAATGCCAGAAGATTTGCCAGATAGAATGCCAGATAGGATGTCAGAAGATATGCCAGATCGAATGCCAGAAGATATGCCAGATAGAATTCCAGAAGATTTGCCAGATAGAATGCCAGATAGGACGTCAGAAGATATGCCAGAAGATATGCCAGATAGAATGCCAGAAGATATGTCAGATAGAATGCCCATGGTGGGGGTGACTCGAAGTAAAGTAATTAAATTTTTAACTGACTGATGTGGTCCAAAACACTGTCAGGAGAAAGCAATTGTCATGGGCTGGGATCCATCTACTTTGATGCCTGAGAGCCTTTCAAGCTGTGAACTGGGACAAGCGTTAAGAAATGCATGGCCCCTGACTGTTAGCGCGAGGCTTGTTGGACAATTGAAACGCCTGTTCAAATGGAACTAGAAAAAAGGTGCTCATAGCTGGAGCTCACATTGTTGACATTGACCCATTGTGCCACTGACCCAAATCCAAGTTGAGGATCCAAGCCCAGCTGAGGTCCCCAGCTGGAGATGCTGCAGCCACCGGGAGGGCAGCCGTCAGTGCAGGGGAACTGGGGGTGAACCCTCAGTTATGGTTACAAAATCGACAGAAACCACCCCAGTGAATTTTAAAGTGGGATGGAAATCCTGAGTGACATCTTAAAAATGATTGAGAACCCATGCGTTGATGAAACAACAGCTTTTATATTGGGGGCCTTAGACTAGTTATTAAAGATGTTGTCAATCAAACAATTAACCTGGCTGCACTTAAGGTAAAAAATACACTGGTTTTAATAATAAGTTTTTGTGGAAAATCCCACAGGATTATTTGACTATCTTAAATGCAGGCCAGAAGATGTATCAAATTGGCCTATGCTCGAGACCACGACTCGCCATGTCCATCTTATCTTAGTAAGGTTCGGGACCTCTCTATACTACCAAGAATACTGCAAGTGGACATGCCGTGGTGGAACCTTAATCTTGAACAAATAGCAAGCCTCGTCCAACAAGATATCGAAGATTGTCGACAAACTCTCGCCCACGATATGAGGACCATCGGTGCACCTGCTATGGAAGAAGTTGGTAGGAATATATTGCAGTATAGAAGCACGATTAAACAAGATTTGCCCTTTCGACTCAAGCGACTGCACGTCTGGAATGTTTCAGGATGGACCCCCTCCCAAACAAGCAACGACCCTAAGCTGAGGCTGATTAAGCGATTATTGCGGACAGGGCCGGTTTCCCTACAAGAGACTCGATGGCACGAGGAAACACCTGAGGCTTTACATCATGCCATCCCTGGTCTGCAGGTGGCACATACCGCAGGCATCCCAACAGATAGAGGAGGAATATCAGGAGGTGCAGCAGTCCTTATTCCACCTGGTTGGCGTTTGGACAGAACTGAAGAAATCATCCCGGGTCGAGCGGTTCTTGCAGTAATCCAGGATAGATACTCAACAATTGGACTAATCTCTATCTACTTGCATCCGAATAGCAAAGGCACTGAACTGCGCGAACTCGTCACCTGGATCAAACAGCAGAAAAATGACCATCCGGTATATCAGCGGGGACTTTAACCAAGCCGACAGTGCTCTTCCGGACCTATGGAATGACCTATTAATACATGCAAGAGTCACGGATATTCACCCAAACTTATCCACCTTTGAAGGGCCGAACGGGTTTTCGGCTCTCGATAGAATACTATGCCCCACGGAATATCTAGCGGCCGCCCAAGTCGATGTGCTTGTCGCTACGCATAGACGCCATCATGTAAGTGGACACTACCAACTTACTGCCACCTTTTTGGTCCGTCCATGTGTTAAAAGTAACATGAAAGATCCGATTCATCAAACCATTCCATCGGACGTTTTCTGTCCCGGGCGTACGGAAGCAGACCCCTACGCTGTCCCCAACGATTTGCAAGAATTAATACGACGCATCCAAAGGCTGAGGAACGCTGACGATGTTGACTTTGTTGCCACATTATGGTCTTGGTGGAGACACCAACCCATACCATCCGCGCACCCACGAGTCCCTGACCACGAACTCCTGCGGAAATTCCTCAGAATCCGTGCAGAAATCCTGCATATTCCTATTAAGCAATATCAGGCCCTACAGGCTGTTACGTACCAAGTTTTTGCGTCCTACCCAGCACCAGAAATACAAGCAGGCAAAATAAGCGTGAGGAGCGACATCCTCAGACAGATGTTTGATTTTTATGATCAAATCTCAGTTTCCCGACAGTATCCGAGCCTTGAACAAACCAATCTCCAAGCTAGGGGTATTGGAAGTAACGTTAGTTTCTGGAACCGACTCCGGGCGATCTGCCCAAAAGGAGTTATGTACAATGGCCCAATCTTAAATAGCAAGGGTGACCATTGCACTACATCTTGCATGTTGGATGAAGCAATGCTTGACACACGGAAATTCTGGTTCGACGAACCCGCTGATCAATTTCAAGAATGGAAACCTGTTTTACAAGAATACCAAACAGCCACGGCATGGCCTTCAATAGATCTACCGCAGAAGCAAGATTTCCTCCGCACATTACTCGGCACTAAAGACTCTGCCCCTGGCCCCGATGGTATCCCGTACTCCGCTTGGAGATTATCCCCTGAAGATAGCTATCCAGTACTTGAACAGCTAATGGGAAAAATGATCTCAGGCGCTCGAGCAGCCCCTGTCCAAGTAGGGGTATGGATCCCAAAGGCAAAATTAGGCCCGACGGCAGATTTTTTTAGACCTCTTGGAATGCACAATACCTGTGACAGATTAGTAGATGGCACTATTGCTGCGGTCATTATGAAAGCAACTTGTGCATACATGCACCCATCGCAGGTAGTAATGAACTGTTTCAAAGAACCCCAGCATGCAGTCAATGCTATCCAAGCATTGCTGGATAGTGATGTACCCACGGCGGCTCTCCTGGTTGACCTATCGAAGGCCTTTGAAAGAGTCAACCCTTATTGGATATTATATATCCTACAAATGAGGGGGGCGCCGACTTGGGTTTGTAATTATGCCAAGTACGTACTATTTGGTAGGCTTATTCGCCACAAAGTACAGGGCAGACTATTACCGCCCAGAGCTGTGCATGTGGGAGTAGACATGGGCAGATCCTTCTCAGTCTTCCTCTTCTGCCTGGCGATGGATCCAATTTACCATTACCTGAACAGAATTCCGCGAGTATTAAGTGTACAGGGGTATATAGATGACAACACGATTGCTGGACCTGGGAATGATATTGGATGGGTCCAAAATATCCAAACGTGCTATCAGGTTTGCCGAACAGCCGGTTTCCAAATCGATTCTCACCTATGTTGGCAAGCAATCTGTTCTGACTGTTCCCCCTTTGAGACACAGGCTGTAACAGATAGGAGAGAAAAGGAAAGTCTCCTCCACCAAGCGTATCACCCCACCGCCCTGTCAGCCATTCGGGCTGCCATCCTGCCAAAGAAAACACTTATCCTGGCTAGAGCAGGAATGTGCATTGGCCTAACTCCAAGGAATGCTAGTCGATTCTGAACGGAATGGATTACTCCTCCATCAGCTCACTCCTAGCCATAGAGTGTCAATGCAGATGCAAGACTGCTCTGGTAGTTAATAGCCCACTCCCAAGTTGGGTTCTGCGCCAACTAGACCAAGCTGGATTTGGGGCTCACTGTGTGCAAGGGGTTGCCACATCACTTGGCTTGCTGTTACTGGGACGTGCGCAGCTGAATGGCAATGACTTATGGGAAGCTACTACGCATCCATCAACACTGAAGCATATCAACCCAAAGGCAGCCGAAAAATTTGTACACAGACTACGGTTGTTCAGGCAACCGGTATTATCAATCGTGTCAAGAAGCATTGCTTTCAACACGTTTGCGCAAAGTGTAGTCCTGTACACAACCTCTTACTTTGGTGCTGCCACTGAAGACCTGCAAATGCTCAGGGCCGCAGCTGCTGAACTTCTTCTCGGCCGAAGTTGGATACGGCACGATTTGCTAGCTTATGTCCTTCGTTGGAGCGGAATATCCCCACTACTTGACCCGGGCCTGAGCATTCTTGTTTCTGCGTTAGGCCTTTTTTTACGTAAAGGAGGAGAGCTTCAAGAACTTTATAGTGAATACCCCCCTCCTGTCAATAGGCAGACACATCAGGTTAGAGCCTTGTGGCAGGCCTGGTCTAGTATAGTAGGGGAGGAGCTACTAACTGCGGCTGCCTCAAGCAACGGAACTATCAAACATAGAATTGGTCAAGTCAAAACACTTATTCTACGTCATATGATGAAAGTTGCATCCAGTTACATCCGCAACAAAGTATTGGCATCAGGGTGGACGGGAGGAGTCAGCTGGACGTGGCTTTCCCAAGCCGTTACAGCCAGCAAGAGATGGATCCCAAGTATGGCCAGATTTACTTTGCTCAGATGGACTGTCAATGAAGATGACGATGATTGGCTGGCCCGGCGAGGTACAAGCAGAAGCAAACGCTGTGTCTACTGCTCCAACACTGGGCGAGCATACCCACTTGGTGGTTGTCAAGTGGCAATTTGTGAGAACTGCATCTCCAGTAAGCAGATTACTGCGTTTACTACACACGCAGTGGCACTGCCTGAGCCGAGAGCACCGGCAAATGTACTAAGCCAAAATGTAGCAATTGAAACCTGTCCATGCTTACCTTGCGTTGCCTGCGCCAAAGGAGATAACACGGTCGGACACTGGATACGATGGTGCCATGTCCCGATCGTAGCTCTCAGGAACTTAACCAACGACACCACCATTTCATCCCTATTGGATGGTTCACGAAGGAGTAAGAAACACCTAGCAATTGCCACCAGAGTAGTTCACCAATATCGTATGCTTTTACGAGAAGCCGGTGCCATGAGACATCAAGCTGCTGCTCCATTGGTGGAGACCGAAACTTGGATTACCAATCTCACTCATAAAGTTTATATGGATCTACCTACAGACTTAAGAGTTGCTCACATACGAATGCAGCGGACCACTGTAGGTTGCGACCTTGATGACTCTAGTCTAGCATGTCTAGACAGACCTCCCTTACATATTTCGCACACGCTTGTCCCTGCACGAGTCTGCTGTACTGCTAAGACGTATGACACAAACCAAACAGTTGGAGTTGTCCAACTTGGAGCAGAAGAAGCACAATTGATTCAACAGTCCTTCCAAGTTGGCATTGGAATTGTGCCAAACGTTAAGTTAACCGTCTATCGATGTGGGTGTGGAGATTTCCACCTGAAAATTACCGCCCTGATGCCGATAGGTCTTGACGATGTGCTATGTAGCAACTTACAACAAGAGGCAGGTACCTTGATAGTTCAATTTGATGGTTCTTGCCATGCGGATAAAGGAGTTGGAGGGGCAGGGGCAGCCTTATTGGAACTGCAGACACAAGGCGTAACTCTCCTGCAATGGAGGGCTC